GTCAAGTGTCTCAATTTCGGGTATGTCCGTCAAACCACGTGCGGAAAGTTCAGCCCAAACGCGCCGTGCAATGGTGGCAGTGTCGTCTGCCACGCCTACCTCAACCAGCGGCGCCTCGGTTGGTGGACGGCACCGCGTCGCGCAGCCCAGCAGCGTTTGACGCACGCGCCGCCCTTCCCCTCTGTCCGCCTTGAAAGTGCGGTGGGCAGAACCACGGCGACGGACTCGGTCGAAGCAGATGTCCACCAGTGCATCCGTGCCGTCGGGGTGTGACCATACCACAGTCAATGCCCTGAGCCCGAGATCGGCGTAGTCGTCGCGTGCGGCCTCATCGAGGTTCATCTTGTCCATGATAAGGTGTGTGTGGCCACCTCGCTGCGCGCGCCGAATGGCGTCAAGAAACTGCCGCTCTCCCGCCGGCCTCGTCTTGGTTGATCCAACATGGCGAAAGCCCTGCCTGGCGCAGCAGAGCGTACAGGGTGCGGGAGAATGTGGACTTGCCGCAGCCCTGCGGAACAACGCAGACGACAGCGTCGGGGTCGCTGATGACGGCGTCGTCACCGGACGGCTCGTAGTGCATCACTTGGGACCGCACGTGATCCATCGGCGGCGCAGGTCCTGCAGCCCGCCGAGGTCCGTTCGCGCCGTTTGCCGCCGTGTCAAATGCAGCCACGCTGCAAACTGCACAAGATAGTCGAGGCGTTCCGCTTCCCAGTCGCCGAGGCACCGGCGCACCTCCTCTGGCAGCCCGGCGAGCTTGCCTGCGAGCCTCGAGCGGAGCGCCACACCGCACAAACGGTGCGTGACGATGGCCTCCTGCGCCGCACGCTCCATTGCGTATGCGTGGGACCGCCGCTTCCACATCCGCACAACAACCCCCGCCTCATTGCAGCCGTACAACACCGCACCCTCACAGTTAAGACGACGCGCCATGCCGTCTCGCAGGACTGCGTATTCGTCTGTCCCCAGCTCTACTGCCGGTTGCGGCGTCACAGCGTCAAGACCGAAGGACTGCAGTGCCGCCATGCTGCTCGCGGGATCGGCACAGAGGCCTTCATGCGGGGTCGCACCACGGCAGGTAACGGCGTAGAACTTCAGTGTCTCACGGGGTCCGTGGTCGGAGAGGCGTCCACATTCCCGCAGAATACCATCAAAGCATGCGGTGCGCCCCGTAGTGCCCAAATAGTCATGCAGAGCAGCGGCCCTTCCCTCCGGCAGCGCACGCAACGTGTCTCGCCAGACGCCCACCACACGTTTGGGAACCGCAGCGCGTCACGTGCCCGAGTGGCATAGCCCCTAGCGGCAGAAGCGTCCGCTACATCTCCTGAACAATCCCCGCAGCAAATGCCGCACCCATCAACGTTTTCGTAAGGTCGTGTCGCACCCCTTCTCCCTCGGAAAATCCCGCGGCCACCCTTCTCTCCCGTGGCGCGTGCCATCGTGGTGCGGCCCCCGCCCCATTGCAGCCTAATAGTCCCCTATCTACTGTTGGTCTAAAATACTTGTTGTACAACTGCAAGGGGAACACCAGGCGTTCACGTGCAGTCCAGCAGAAGCCACAGCAAACAAATATACGCGGTGGGCACCACAACAACCAACACGCCCCCACCCACATGCATCATCTTCACGGACACCACAGTCAGCCACACCACTCCCGCTGCATGTGCGCCCTCTCTCCCCCATCATCCCTTCCTACCTCCTGCCGGCATTCACAGAAGAATGCTGCGGATGCCGGAGAAGTGTTCCACGTCGGCATCTGTGACGCCAGCCCGCCGCGCCTGCCACCCCGACAAGACGTGCCGCACAACGACATCCGCGGCGAGGCCCTTTACCTCGGCGCTGTTCATCTCACCCCTGCTGTACTTCGACGTCACCTCCGCGAGGAGATTGTCGTCGGGGCAGAAGAACCGAATGAGTTGGTACGCCACGTCTGCGTGCAGGTTGACACCCTCCACACGCATGTCCTCCAACGTGCCACCCCCACCAGAGAAGGCCTTGCGCACCTTCTTCCGCACCTCCTGCTCCGTGTCGTGTAGTGTGATGACTCCGTTCCCCTCGGCGCTGCTGCTCATCTTGAACTGCGCTCCCTTCAGTGCGGGGAGGAACTTTGTGTGCAGCAGTGCGGGGGCGCAGCACTTCATACGCGGCGCGACGTTGCGTGCCAAAAGGAAAAAAGCGTCCTGATCAATTGCACAGGGAATGATGCACTTCAGCGGCGGGTCCCAGCTAGCCGTGGTAGCACACGGGGGAAGGCACTGCTAAAACACGGTGCGGCCTGCACCGCTGGAAAGGCTGCCTTTCCAACATTGTCGCTATCCTTCAGGCCAAATGCATTCTTCACAGCGCTCAGCGTCAACATGCGCTGCACCTGCACGACAGTTGGGTACATGTCCCCCATGTACACCGTGTTGCGGAATATAAATGTCTTGCGTGGATCAAAGCCAAAGGCAATGATGTCTTTTATGTTCTCCACCACCAACCCGCTCGCCCTCTCCCCGCTGACGGGAATGTCGCGGAAGAAGTGCTTCTCATCATCGGTTATCTGGATCACCAACGGAAGACCGAGCGCATCCTGCAGGTACCGCGTCAATAAAAACGGCGTGACATGGCCAATGTGCATCGACCGCGCGCTCGGTCCACGACCAGTGTACAAGTACGCGCGGTGTGTCCCCGTCGCAAAGGACGCACGCACGCAGTCAAGGGCGGCTCCAAAATCCCTGTGGGAGAAGACGATGCCGCGGCGGAAAAAATGGTGCAATGCCATTCGTCCCGCCTCCTCTTGTGCGGTGCTCCCCCCGTCCGTTGCATGTTTCCTCCAGCCGCTGCAGAAGGGGCTCTTCAACGGGCTCCGACCCGAATATTGCGAGGACGCGGCCATAGTCCACACCCCTCGGGCCCGTGGCGGCAACACCCCACGGCGTCACAACGTCCTCCTTGCGCTCTGTGCGGCTGGCATCATCCCCACGCGTCGTGGCACAACTTCGTCCCCCACAAGCCAACGGCGTAGAAAAGCGTGAGATGCGACGCACCACAAAAGGATCCAAACGACTACTTCGCCCGTGCACCGCAGTGCCACACCGGAAAACAAACAGGCAGGAGGAGAGAGGCAGGAATTCGGGACAGCACACACCACCTGATGCATCACACCCAGAAAAAAAAAAAATGCATGCAGCGGGATCCAACACCCAAGCGCTCAATTCTGCCGCAGCCAAGCCACACACGCGTAGCCCCTACACAATCGATGGAAATTACAACACAATCAAATAAACACTGGCAGAAAAGAAAGACAATAGAAAAGCGCCAATGAAAACAAAAATGAACGACACTGTCGGTGCGCCATACAATGACTGGCCGTGGCGCGCAGCCGCAGTGGCCCCGCGCCATCTCCCCCCATAGGCCAGCACCGCACTCCCGCCACTTCCACGCAGCGATATACACGCAGCAGCCGCTGTGGTGGCGGATCACGGAGTGACAAAAGAAACGAGAAATAATTACAAAACAAACACTGTGAAGTTGGTGTAAACTAAAAAGATAAAATAAAATTATGGACAAAACCCCACACAATCGCTGGAAATTACAAGACAGTCAAATGAACACTCGCAGAAAAGAAAGACTAGAAAAGCGCCAATGAAAACAAAAATGAACGACACTGTCGGTGCGCCATACAATGACTGGCCGTGGCGCGCAGCAGCCGTGGCCCCGCGCCATCTCCCCCCATAGGCCAGCACCGCACTCCCGCCACTTCCACGCAGCGATATACACGCAGCAGCCGCTGTGGTGGCGGATCACGGAGTGACAAAAGAAACGAGAAATAATTACAAAACAAACACTGTGAAGTTGGTGTAAACTAAAAAGATAAAATAAAATTATGGACAAAACTCCACACAATCGCTGGAAATTACAAGACAATCAAATGAACACTCGCAGAAAAGAATTAGTAGACAAGAACCAATGAAAACAAAAATGAACGACACTGTCGGTGCGCCATACAGTGACTGGCCGTGGCGCGCAGCAGCCGTGGCCCCGCGCCATCTCCCCCCATCGGCCAGCACCGCACACAAATTTCACGTGGCACATGTCACGGGATAGCGTGATTCACGCTCCCACTTGTAGTTGATGCACGGTCCAGGAAGCTTAATGCGTTGGAGTGGGTGTCGACTGCCAGTGGCTGCGGCTGACGGTCAATGGTATCTGGGCTGCGTTCGTTGCTAACAATGATGCGTTCCCACCGCGGCGGTGCGGGTGGTCGGTACGACGACGCGCCGGCGCTGCCTGAAGCGTACGACGATGATGTCCGTTCGTGGTGCTTCCGCAACTCTTCGTCGCTCTCCTCGTCATCGTGCAGCAGCGCATCCAGCTCGCCACGCTGCGGCTCGCGCAGTTCCTGCCAGTGGCGGTCCTCCACGTACCACACAACCGCACAGTACACAGTGGCCGCAAGCAGCACAGTGGTCAGCAGCATCAGAAGTGCCGCGTACGCCCTCGCACCGCCGTCGCTGGGCGCAAGATGGTTGGCCGCGCTGGTCAGGCACAGCGCCGCAAGGAGCACAAAGCTCGCCGTGCGCATCACCGTCAGGAAGGCCGAGCGCATCATGTTCGTGAAGGCAACCACGCCCGCACCCGCAAGCAGCACAGCCGCCATGCAGAAGTACAGGACGTGGCAGCCTCCCACGGGCGGGTGCACAGCCGCAATCAGGCCCACCACACACAGCACCGACAGCTGGAACACGCACCAGTACACGTGGCTGCCCCTCATGTTCGTCAGCATACCGCCGTACATCCGCTGCTGCGCCGCGGGGTGCCAATACCCGACGGGGTACAGCAGGCGCTCGTGCAGCGGCTTCCTCGAAAACTGCCAGTACTTCGCAAAGCTCGCGCCCGTGTGGCGGGCAATGAAGTAGCACACGCCAGCAGGGAACGCCACACCGTACAGCACGCCAACGACACCAATCACGTAGTGCTGCACGCGGGCGCCGGGCATCGCCACTGCAAACACGGAGCCGAAGAAAATGCCGAGGTGCATCGCGTGAGCCACGACGTACGTCAGGCTCGGGAAGCGCATCGCCGCCCACGCAGTCGCCGCGTCCACGCCGCGCCACCGCTGGAAGGCCGCCGTCACACCGTAGTGCACGCAGCCGAACACAGCGGCAAGCAGCGCGTTGCCCACCACCATCCACAGCGGGTCAAGGGCAGCGAACACCGACAGGAAGTACGGCAGCGCAACGGTGCTCGCACGCTCCTGCGCAGAGGCGCACGACATCCTCGCGAACACGCCGAGCGCCTGCACCTCCAGGATGGAGCCCAGCCCGCCGGTCACCACCATGGCAACAGCCGTCGCACCCGCAACAACGCCGGTGATCGCCGAGAGGGCGCTGGCAACAGCAGGCGGCGTGTTGGACGCGATCGTGAAAGACCCAAGCAGCACACCCCTGCAGCCGCCAAACACCGCCACAGCGTCGCAGCGAATGACTATCGTCTCGTCGGCACCAATGAAGTAACCGCGGTGCACGGGCACAGCCAGCTCCAGGACGGTGAAAGGATTCGTCGCGTTGCGCTCCCACGTTGCGTTGCTCAGCATCGCTCCCCACGGACCACCAAAGCCGGTCGGCTGCGCCGTCGACACAGGCACGAAGCTCAGGTGCGTGCCGAGCTGCGGGTCGCTTGTCCAGCGGAACGGCGGCGGCAGCGCCATCATCAGCCGCGTCGGGACGGCGCTCCCACCGCCGCGAATGTCGTTCTGCGTCAGGCTCCCACCAGCCGCCGTCGTCGTCACGGCGAGTGTCGGGCACGCCACGTCGCTCCACCACGGTGTGCTGCTCACCGACAGGCTCATGCTCAGTGACTCCGATGCCGTCACTGTCGCCGTAACCGACGCTGCCGGGGTCGGCAGTGAGTCCGATGCCGTCATTGTCGCGGTCGGCAGCACCGTCGCCGTAACCGACGCTGCCGGGGTCGGCGTGGGCAGCAGCGTCACCGTTTCCGTCACCTGCAGCTTCTCCGTCGGTCCGTAGTTCGTCGGACTGTAGCGCGTCGCGCTCAGGCTCGTTGTTGGCGGTGTTGGCGTCCACGTTGGCGTCAGGCTGCGCGTCGCCGTCAGCGTTGCCGTGTGGCTCAGCAGCGGTTTCTCGAGCGTGCGGTTGCACCCGTCCACGTGCGGCAGGTACACAGGCAGGCAGTCGCGCCCGTACCCGCCCTCAGCACAGCGGCAGCGGCACGACCCCGACATCGCCCTCGTCGCAGCAGCAAAGCAGTTCACGTCGGCGTCGCACACGCTGCACGCCACGGGGCGGAATTCCCCGATGATGCCGGCGGACCTGTAGTCGATCGGCTGCAGCGCCTGCCCGTTGAGCGTCAGGCACCCCACGACGAACTCTCGGCCGGCGTCCCCGAGCTCAACGGTGCCGTCCATCACGACGGGTCCGCTGCCAGCGTTCTTGTGAAGCGTCAGCGTGCTCTGCACAAGCTCCGCACGGCGCGGGTACGACGGCACCGACAGGAGCCTGCCACTGATGCTGTTGCCGCGCACCGACAGCCACGACCCGGACACAAACGACGCCATCTCCCGCAGCACCAGCAGCGCGCCATCGGTCAGCGCACCGGCGTTGTCGTTCACTACGACGGCGGACGCGTTGGCCATCACCCCGTTGTCGAACAACAACCCATGCGCGGCGTACACCTGGCTCCCCGACACGCGCAGCACAGCGCCCTCCGACGCCACCACGCGTGCACTCGCGTACAACGCATATTCGCCACCGAACACAGCCGCGTCCAGCGCAACACCGCCACCGACGAGCTCCAGCACGGCGCCGTCCACCACCACCGTCCGCCCACCAGTCATCACGGTCACGAGGGCAACGCCAGACACAACCAGCACGGACCGCACAAGCCGCAGGCCCGACAGCACCAGCACCGGTGCGTACGGTGAGGACTGCGAGCCGGAAAGATACACAAGCGGCGTCGACCTCGCGGAAACCAGCAGGGAGTCCGTCACCGTCAGCACGGACCCCGCGGGAAACGTGCCGGTCAGCACAAGCGCACCGTTCAGCGCCTCCACATCGCACACGGACAGCTCCACCGGCCCGCTCTCGTTGCTTCCCGCAGCCACCGCACCGCGCAACGCTCCACCGCCCATCACGTACAGCACGGCGCCGTTACGCAGCGACACGTTCTGCACAACGATCCGCACGCCGTCACGCGCCATCCACGGCACGTAGAGCACAGGACTCACGCCGTCCAGCACAACGTGGCGCAGCGTCACCTCGCTCGCACCGGCAGGCACAACGAACACCGACCGCACCGTCAAGTTCTCGCGGACAAACACACTCGACGCAGTGCCCACGGCAGGCGGCAGTGCGGGAGCTCCCACAGGCACGCACGCCTCGCCGTACCCGCCGCTGCCGCACGCGCACACGCACACACCGTCCTTCATGCTCGCCGTCGCCGTCCCGGGCGCGTAGCAGTACGTGTCCCCGTCGCAGGCGTCGCACCCAGCAACGTCGATGCTCCCAGCGTCGCCAAAACCCGCCGCTGCGTACTCCTCCGCCGTCGACAGGACTCGCCCACCAGCGTCGTTGCATGCAACCCTCAAATGCGCCCCAGCCGCAAGCGACAGGTTTACCGACAGCATCCGCGGCAGCAGCGCTCGGTTGCGCACAAAGCTCAGCGTGCTCCCAGCAGCGGTCACGGCGCCAGCGGCGTGGAGCATCTCCCTCGAGACGCCGTCGTGCACGTTGCCCTTCAGCAGCAGCATCGACCCGCCGACCAGGCTCACCGTCGAATCAAACGCCACCGCGTAGTCCTCCGTCGACGCAAAGTCGCTCCGCACAAGCGCCACGGCGGAGCCCGACACGCTCACAGCCCCGCGCACAGACACCGCGTGCTTGCACAGCAGAAAGTCGCTGTCAACAAACGCCACCACGGAGCCGCCGCTGGCCGCAACACCGCCCTCCACCGACACGCACAGCCCCAGCGCCGTCTGCACCGACAGCGCATCCACGTACAGCGCTCCGCGCGACGACAGCGCCACGCCGCCAACCACCAACACGCCAACAGCGTCGCCGAACACAGCCGCCACCTGCGTGCGCGCAATCGTTAGCACGCTCCCCGTCAGATTCACGTTGTGCAGCACGAGGCACGCGGACGCATCGCCAAGGTCGTAGGCGCCGCGGTACGCAACACGCTTCTCTGCAATCAGCACCGAGTCCACCACAGTGACGCGCGAACCCGGCGGAAATCGGTTCGCCACCACCATGCCGCCGCCGGAGCGCGACTCGAGCCCGCTGATCAACACATCGGCGCGCTGGCCAGCAGGCGGTTCGGAACGCCACCCGACAACGTACAGGCTCGCTCCGCCCAAAAACGTGCAGTTCACCAGCGTCACGTTGCGCACGCTCCCTGACATCAAGCCCACGTCCACCACGACGTCCGCCGCAAAGGTCACACCAACGTAGCACACCAACGACGTCCCGAAACCGGCGTTCACTTCCTCATCCACAATCACGTCCTGCACGCACGAGTCGGCACCGTCAGTGCTTGAGGGCTCGGGAACAGCGACGGGCAGGCACGCATCGCCGTGGCCGCCCTCAGCGCACGTGCAGGCGCAGCCACCACTCGACGCCGTCGCCGTGTACGCAGGAAAACACGACGCCGCGAGGGTGCATGGGTCGCTGCAGTTCAGAATGGCCGCATTGTACACGGACGGGATGTCGTATTTCACTCTCTCACCGCCGTTCACAGTGTTGCACGCGGCCACAACCGTTCCGTTTGTGAGATCGCTGGACCCTAATAATATCCAAAGCACCTTCGGCGTGCCCGTGCTGGAAATGAATTTGTTGCCGGACACAGACACCGTGGAGCTCCGTAGATTCACCCCGGGGTATGCGTAGGCAAAGGCATCCGATGGGGAATCACGGCAGAGGTTGCCGCTCAACTGCAGCCAGGAGTTGTAGTAGACATAGGAAAGAAACATTGAACGAAACACATTAAAGCTTCCCTGCATGTCATTGCCCTGAAACACAAACGCTGACCAGGACTCCACACGTAATGCCCAGAAAAATAATATGAAGTACTGCACCGGCCTCGACACAATGTTGTCTCGGACCACCACGGCGGAGTTGTTCAGTACATCCAGCGACGAGGATTGGCCAGACCCTCCAAGATATATCACCGTAGCGCCACCGCCGTCCATATGAAACATGTTGTCCATCACAGCAAACAGGGAGTGCCACAACACCCTCAGCGGAGATCCTGCAGCGTGAATGGCGCTTGAAGATGCCGTCACGCTCTGAAACACATTGCCACTGAGCACCACCGCGGAGTCATTGCTGACCACCAGACCATTCATCGCAACACACGACGGGCTGTCAAGGTCCAAGCCCGACCGAGAGACCAGCCTCGTGACAGTGAAGCGGTTCCCGCTGATCGTGATGTTCGTGTGCGGTGGAAAATCACCCTCCGGGCTAAGAAGCGCGTCATCGAACGTGTTGCCGGTGACAAAAACGTTCAGCGACTCCACAGCGGCGTGCGCGTTGCCCAACAGCACCAGCACGGCGCCGTCCCTCCACGTGCATCCATCAAACGTGACATTCGCCACGTCGCCCGTCATCCCCCCAATCAGCACCGTCAGGATCATGCCGCCCCCGCTGAACGTCACGTTGCGGTAGCACAGCCACGACAACCCGCTGCCCACTGCCTGCGCAACCTCGGGGTACACCACGTCGCTGATGCACTCTCCATTCGGCGGCGGTGACGGTGGTGCGGGCGGCGGTGGCGGTGGTGGTGGGCCAGCAGGCACAGGCGCCGGGACGCACACATCGCCGTGCCCTCCAGCAGCGCACTGGCACTTGCAGTCGCTGACAGCCGTCGTCAGCGGAGCAAAGCAGTCGCCGTCCCTCGTGCATTCCCCGCAAGTAGCAACCGTCGTCACGTTGGTGATGCCATTCAGCTCCAGTTCAGCCGCCGTCGTCAGCACACGTCCCGCAACCGTCAGACATCCGGCAACGAACCCGTAGCCGGCGTCAATCCGCGACAGCAGAGGCTTAGACGACCCCGTTGAGCCCATCTTGCAGCCCGTCAGCGTCACCACACTGCTGCCATCGATGTTCACGGAAGCGTAAAAAGAAGAGTAGTAGAACATCGCACCCAATCCCACGTCGTTGTCGCGCCAATCCAGCCAGCTTGAATTCCGGACGGTCCAAGAATTATATGCATAGATGGCGTAGGACACGGAGCCGCTGTTCCCCACCACGCGCACCACGCTGTGATTCGACACGGTGAAGTCGTGGTACTGGTACAGGAAACTTGTCCCGGTGGCCATCGTATTGTTGAGCAGCGCAAAAACGGAGCGATCACTGGCAATGAGCCTATACATGTACAACATGTATGTGTATTTATCAAAGCTGCAGTACCGCGTGTACAGCGAGCTGCCGCCCACCAGCGTCAGTGTCCCGGTCGAGTACAAACCATATCCACTGTAACCCAAAGCACGCGCCTTGACGTTGCTGACCAGCAGCGAGGACGCAGTCAACACGACGTCGTCCAGCATCACCACGCTCAGCCTGCTGCTTGCAGTGCCTGAAAGCTGGATATCGGAGGACTGCACCGCGTCAACCTCCGTGACGGCAATGTCGCAGTGCTGCGGGAGGGCACGCCTAAATAGAACAACGGAGGACCGCATCACCGTCTGGCTCACGCGGATCAGGACGCCGGCCGACTCGGCCACCTCAGTGCCCCCAACAAACTGCAGCGCGGCTCCGTCACGGAATGTGCACCCAGTGAGCGTGATGTTGATGGGGAGATGCAGCGGCATACTGTTGGGAGAGAAAGTCAGCGCAGCACCCACGCCGCTGAATGTCACACCCACGTAGCAGTGGTGCGTCTTCCACATGTTCAGCGTGAGGCTCGTCAGCGTCTGGTTCACCACGCAGCTCGTGTCGCCGTCCACATATTTCTCCGGCGCGGGCGGCACAACCGTGTCGGGCACCGCGAAGGGAAGACACGACGCGCCATGCCATCCGTTTTTGCAGCTGCACGAGCATGAAGTGCGGTTCACCGACTCCGTCCCGGGCATGTAGCACGCCGTGTCGTCGTTGCATTTGCCGCACCCAAACACTAACACGACACTCGGATAAAAAAAGCTGCGCGACACCTCCTTCTCGCCCTGCATGTTGCACCCAACCAAAAACTGCGCGGGTGACGTCACAAACGTCCTTGAAAACTTCGCAAAATTTTTACCAGAGTCCGCCTGACGGTTGTGTGCAAGCGACACGATGGTGCCGTTGCCCGACAGTCTAGTACTGTACCAGAAAGACGGCATAATGAATACTGAAGCTGCGCTCACGTTGTTGCCCTCCACACGCCACTGCGCACCACCCTGAAAAATGACCGAGCCGTACAAATACAACAGCGCAGAATTGAATGTCTCCGTGCTGCCAGTGAAGGTGCAGTCCGCCACCCTCAGCAGCCCCGCGGAGCTCACAGAAACCAAAGAATGAAAATAAATGCCGATGGCTGCACTCATCGTGTTGTTCTCGACGTCAATATAGCCGCCGTTCTTCACATCAACACCGTTATAATAAACGGCCGACTCCGAGCTGTAACCGCTCTTTGTTGACTTCAGCATATTTCCCTTCATAATGATCCCGCCCCCATCAACAACAACAGCAACGGGGAAATAAACTGCGGAACTCACCCCCTCCATGTTGTTGTCGAGCAGCAGCAGCGTCGTGTTCGCACCCAAAGTAAACCTTGGAAATTTAATGGCGTAACCCGACTTTGACAAGAGCTTACTGCCTGCCACCAGTATCTGGGAGCTCAAGCCAAAATCACCCTCAAACTCCAATGCACCAGAATCCAGCATCGAGAATGCCACATTCACGTGCACGCGCGCACCACTCCCCTTGATCGACAGGCCCATGAGGACGCACTGCAGCAGCGTGATGTTGAGTGTCTTTCCTGGCGCGTCGAAGCTCCACAGGTCCAGCACAATCGCAGCGGTGAAGGTCACGCTGACAAAGCACAGACCACGCACACCGGGATCAGGATAGTCCACGGAGCTGATCCTGCCACCGTAAACGCAGCGGACCTCCGTGTCCTTCGCGTCAGGGAGCGGGAGCGGCCCAAGACCGTCCGGAACCGCAGCTGGCAGACACGTGTCACCGTATCCGCCAGCAGCGCACACACACTCACAGCCGCTGACGCTGCTCGTCCTCGCAGCAAAGCACACGGCGCCCACGGTGCAATTTCCACAGTCCAATGCCGTCACGGGCGCCACAATATTGAGCTCGTTTCTGTAATTCGTCACGGGAGATCTCTTTACCTTGTTGCACGTGCCGTAGATGATCGGGCGCGTGTCGGATGGTGGTGACCACCCGCTTGTCATGTATGCAGTGATCGACGAATAGGAGCCGTACCCAAAGTCGTTGTAAAGTATCGACCACACACTCCGATCGCGGAACGCCACGCCGTCGTATTTGTCCACGTGCACAACGTAGGCGGTGCGGAACGCGTTGTCGCGGTGCACCAGCCAGCTGCCGCCAGTCACTGTCAGCGTGGTTGCCATGAGCATGGCAAAGCCGAGACGGAAACTGCTGGACACAACCTGCAGCACGCTGCCGCCATCCACCGCAACGTCCCCAAACACACACGCGCCTTTGTAGTACTCGGTGCTCGGCGCACTCCACGAGCTGTTCTGTACGGAGAACACGGAGCCGCCGCCAACACGCAGGTCCGACGCAAGGGCGTACATCACGTGCATCTGCGAATTGACGGCGCAGTTGTCCATGTAGAAGACGCTGGACAGGTTCACACCGAGGCCACGCTCCACAAGGATCGCAGCGCACGAACCCCCGCCACACACCAGCTTCGAACGCGTCATGACAAAACACGTCGACAGAAGCCGGACGCCGTCCAGGACAAGCGCGGGGCCGTAGCGGGATTTCTCGTGGCCAGGGGTCGTCGGCACGTACTGCGACCCGCCAACCGTCGCGCGCAGCGTTGAGTTCGCCAGCAGCACACTCGAGTTCGGCGGCATCGCGCCATGCAGCACAATCGTGCCCTCCAGCGACGTCACGTTCGTCATGTTGACGAGGGCGTGAGGAACCAGGTGCGCCGTGATCTCGCTGAGGCCGCCAATCCGCAGCTTTGCGCCGCCCGCAAGCACGCAGTGGCGAAGCGTCACGTTCAGCGCGTCAGCAAACGCGTCCATCGAACGCAGATCCACCGCCACAGTGATCGGCCCGCTGAACACCACCGAGTCGAAGCACGTCGTCGCACGCCCGCCGCCAACCGTCACGGACTCCGTCAGCGTCACGCCACTCACGCAGTCCTGCGCACCGCCACCACCACCGCCGGCCCTCGCAGGCGGCACGTCGAACGGCAGGCACGCGTCGCCCACACCGCCGGCGCGGCAGCTGCACACGCACTCGGAGAACGACGCCGTCAGCGCATCGAAGCACGCCAGCGCAGCCGCACAGCCGTCGCACGGCACCACGCTCACGGAGGACAGGCCGGCCATGCGGTAGTCGCCGCTGCTCTGCAGCACGCGGCCGCCAGCACGGTTGCACTGCACGGACACAGCGCCGCTCGTGATCGTCAGCCCGGAGACAAGCGTCGCACCAGTGGCAGCGCAGCGAGCAATAGACACGGCGCCGCCGCTCAGCGTCACACCCGACAGCGACGCCACCGACGACGCCTCGCCCACCGCCCACACGTCGTGCAGCTCCAGCCACCCGCCGGCACCGACCGTCCCACCGTCGCAGCGCACCAGCGACGACGCAGCAGACCCCTCGACGCCCACGAAGCGCAGCACCGAGTCGGACACCGCGAGGCGCTCGCCAAGCACAATGCCGCCGCCGCTGCTCACAACCGACACGCTCGTCACGGAGAACACCGAGTGGTTACGCAGACTGAGACGCGACGAGGATGACACATTCATCGCGGACGCGGTCGGACCGCCCGACGCCTCCAGCGACACGCCGTCAAGCACCACCGCGCTCGACAGCAGGTCCACACCGCCGCCAACGTGCACCGCCGTCCCGCCCGCATGCGACGACCTCAGCACAGTGTTGCTCACACGCAGCTGCGACTGCAATAGCGACATCGCGTGCAGCACAAGCGGCGACGCCACCGCGTCCGTCAGCCCGCTCAGCTGGGTGTAGCGCATCGGCCCCGCCGTCACAATCGTCGAGTCACGGACCGTCACGTTCGTGTGTGCCGGCAGGTTGTGCACAAACACGAGCGAGCAGTAGCTCCCCGACAGCCCGCGCACGCTCACCTCCAGGCTCCGGTCACTCGCCGGCTCACCGCTGTAGCCCCGCACGTAGATCTGCGCACCGCCGTCGCACACGCAGTTCCTCAATTCGATGCGCAGCGCGCCGGGAAGCATCGCCGGCACGTCGAACACCACAGCCACGCCGTTCGTGACGTACACGCCGTCCATCAGCACCGTGTCCACGGCGCGGCCCACCGTGATGGCTCTCTCCACCGTACCGCCCCGCAGTCGCAACGGCACCGCATGCACCGCGGGCATCCACGCCGCCGCAACCAGCGCCAACAGAACAAGCAGCGCCACACGCACAGTCGCAATGGTCCTGCGCCGCAAGCGGTGCCGGCTGCGCGGACACGCACCCACCGCAGACCACATCCACCAACCCAACCAGGTATCAACAGGGCTGTCGTGGTGTGTCGCACTCGTCTCGTCGACCGTGCCTCCTGCTCCGCAAATCCCTTCCTACAGATGCCAAATACAGTGACACGATTCCGCCAGGTCGTTATCCCACTACTACTTCTACTAATAATACTACTACAACTGCTGCGAGTAATTACTAAAACCTTGAAACGCTAGTTGTGGTGGTCAAGCCACAGTATCTCTATCTGCAAGGTAAAACAAGGAAGAGGCAGCAGCAACAGTAGCCAGACACAGTAGCACGCAGCGGCATCCGGCCACATATATTCCACATCACAGCCAGCGACACAAAGACGCGCAGACACAGTCAGCCCAGTGATGCCATCGGCCTCCCACCGCCCGCGCAGCGCCGCACAACCGCCGTGCAGAGCGACGGGACCCCGGCCAAGAGGCACATGACCATTGGCACCGCCCTTCTCGCCAAATGCCTCCAACACATGACGACCCCGATGCCGTGGACAACACACAAAAGCCGAGGCAGATACACGTGGCATTGTTGCAACCGCCAGCCATCGAGCGCGTCCGTGAACGTGGTGGTGGTGGCGCGGAAGTGGGGTGGTGAGTGCGTCAGTTGCCAGTAGCCAAGGCGTCGTTTCTCGCTCACGTGGGTCGGCATTGCAGAACAAAGAGCGGCATCATGCGCGCACGGCATGCACAAGGGCAAAAGGGAGGAACAAAGAAGCACGGTGGCGGCACTCAGCCACGGGGGACAAGGGTCCACATCGACTCTGCGGTCGGTTGACCTTCAGACGTCCGGTTTGTAATCACGCCGCCGCCGCGCAGTTCGTGTGTCTGCAGGAGACTGGGGGATGGAGGGAGGGAAGAGAGAGGCGGTGCGGCCCGCATCGGTCCCGGTTGGGTGTGACAAAGGTGGGGTCATCTCGTCAGATCGCCGGCAGCAAAGACGGTCGCCGTCAGCGGCGGTCAGTGCCTTCCTTCTCCCACCGCAGCGCCACTCCACCGACGCCGTCGCCCGCCTCCTCCCCACCGACACAACGAGGAGACAACAGCAGGAGATGTAACGCCCGCAACGATCAGGCTGCCGGAGAGTCTCGTTGCAGCCGCAATGACCAGACGAGTGGGATGCAAACAAAAAGGGAAAAGGAAAACAATTGCCCCCTCAAGCATATCAGCACAACGTGGAAGCACAGCAGCCGGCACACAAGGCGCAACGCCGTTCAGTGGCTACCAGCACTCACCCTCAGTTTACGCGGCAACGTGAAAATGAACGAGCTCCTCCCACACAGCCATCCTGCAACACGAGTGAGTCACACGAGCAGTCGCACAAATTAACACCACGCCACGCAAACCAGCAATCAAAGACACCGCCGGCGAAGGAAGCGATGGATGGCTGCGGCGCGCAGCCGCAATAATAAAACATGTGTCACCTTGCTTGGGGCATAAGGAAGACGTCCAATCAAAGAGGCAGGCCGATTCGCACCAGAGGGAGGTAAGAGCGAACAGAAGCAAACATTCGCCTAGGGCGATTGACCGGATCGTAACGTTATTTACGAAAATCAAGCAATACAGGAGGAAGAAGGGGCAAGTGAAAAAGCAGTGGGCTCACCACACCCTCAAGCTTTGCCCCAAGTAAGTATATGTACACATATGTATTCCGATAGCCACTCTCGTGACATGCTGCGCTCTATTCGGATTGGATAAATATATATACATACATATATATATTAATAATTTACGAAGTGTCAAATTTTGGGGCTCTCCAGCCACAGGACCCCGCCGCAATGTGAGAATCAAAAGAGAGTGGGTGAGATGGTAAAATTAAATTTACAAAATTATCTGGCGGCTATCGGTTCCCTAATCCCCCACAGCCGTGGTCATGCCAAAAATCATACGGTAGAAAAGTGTCGTAAAAAAGTGTATTCGTTTTATCAGGATACATATTAATTTAAATAGCCAGCCCTCCTCGCGATCATCCCCTCCACAGGCTCCCAGAAAACAACAGCGGAAGTCCATAGAACCATCACAATACTGAATGTGGGAAGCGGGGTCGCCACGGGAGTGTGGGAACGTCATGCACTACACTCGGCGATGCAGTCACAAAGCAGGTGCTTACACCACCACGGCCACCAGCACCCACGAGCCCAGCATGGGGTGGCACAGGATGCCACTGCAGCCAGCGGCGAGCACCGCAGTGTCCCTCACGGCTACCTGAAGACAAATGTCCCGGTGACGCGTGTGCCGGCGGGGAGACTGTCGACGGTGCGGCACGGGTCATCCGCATGGGAATCGTCCAGCAGCTCGTTGCTGTGCGCAGGCGGAACACCCGGCGCGTTCGCGATGGTGATGTGTGGATGAACATTTTCGCAGGGGAACTCTCCCTCGTTGCGCACCGCGATCGCCGTCCCCTTCGGATCAGACGCAACGCTCGTCAGCGTGAGCTCAATGGACTCGCCCAGCAGCCCCACCAGCTGCCGCAGCAGGAAAGGGTCCTTGCAGGCGTCACGACCCAGGTACAGCGTCGTCACATGGAAGGCCTTCTGCACCTTCTTGCCGTCCAGCATCTCTGGCGGCACAAGCTCGAGAACCCGCTCGGGGAC